GCAAAGAACCACCTAAACAATCTCCTGACTAAGCAGACCACACAAAAATAGATAACTGGAACAAGAACAAAAATGGTGTTCTCTGCAAGTGCTGGAAGTTGAAAAACTTGGTTGAAGAGATGAGAATGTCTCACTTTAATGGAGCACATTGGTAGGAACTGGTTTTTAGGAAGCACTGAGAAGGAAAGGCATTAAAAGCCTCTCCAGTACTTGATGACAAAAAGAGACAAGAATGCTAAGGTTGGGGAAGGAATAGCAAATAAAGCAGGAACCATCATTATACCATTGTAAAAATCCATCATGTAGCCTTCCTTATCTTTAACTCTGTGTAATTTGGTATAGACTGTATTTAGAGAATATAGAGAAAGCCAAGAAATAGGATGTCTTGGTACAGTTCCCACACAATGAGAGGATTAATACACTGCGTATCCTGAGCCCAGAAGGAAAAAAACTTCGGGCTGAATTTAATAGAGATCTGTCAAGATCTTGGATGGACTGGAGATGGATGAATGAGTGACTTATTTTTCAGACTTGCTTTGTATTATTTCTCCTTGTGTTTCCTGGCAAAATGGAATATTACAAGCTTTCACATCCTGTTAAAAAGGCAAAAGGTATGAAGAGGTTCAAATAAAAGTAAATTTTAAAAAAGATGCCCAAGAGTACCAAACGACATTAACGTGTCCTTGTACTTTAACAGGCTTCCATAATTGCACATACATTACATATACTGCACATTAATGAGTGTAGAAGCTTATTTGCCACTAAATAAAAATGCACTGCTATCAACTTTAAAAATCTGTTATATAGAGAAGTCTAGACACCAGATTTAGGGTAAGACAACTCAGTAAATATAGAAGAATTTGAGCCAATATAAAATCTGTGATATGTATGATAAGATTTGGCATCATTATTGAGTGGCTTCTTTGACACGCTATCCAGTCCCCACACTTAGAGAATTTTCAACATTATCCAGTATCAGGTGGGTCCTGGAAGAATTTACAGCAAGAATCAGTAGTCAAGACTTGAATGAGAGAAGATCAAAAGTAAGCATTGAGATTTGCCTTTTTAAGAAGATGCAAGGAGGAGTTAAAACCATGATTTGCTAAGGCACCAAGCAGCACCAGCAGACACCCCTGCAAAATTCATCTTAAGCTGTATTTAGTATATTCAAAAAAATCATGGCTCCCCCTTGAGCCATTTCAGCTCAAAGAGAGATAAAAAATAATCAGATCACATAGACTGTTCGTTCATCTTGAATAAATAAATATTTAACGGAATTGTGCACTTCTGAGTCATGTTTAGTTCTAATATGCATCTTTCTAGTTGAGCGCCTACCTCTGAGAAGATTCATCTCCAGGTGCAGTTCTGTAGGTGTGCATCTGTAGTTCATGTGTTAAAGTCCATCAGAAACACACTAGACAATGACTTTCTAATACTGAGAGCTTTTAGTACACAAATGGCTAATGAGAGCCCTTCAAACAAGCTCCTCCCTGCAAGTTTGTTTTAGAATAATTCCAGTGACTTGCAATCACCAGGTTTTAATGGTGGGCTGTTGAAACAAATTTCTTAGACCTATAATCTTTGTAGAGCTTAGTTATTGAAATTTTATCACCGTCTTGTAGCTTGAGTGTGAGATACTCCTGGGCAATGCTGTTCAATACCTGCTTGAGTACAATTTTAAAATGTAATTTTTTTTCTTTTCACTAATTTATACCTAGGTCAAATTCATATTATGATCTTTGGTTTCTTTCTTAAAATCTGACTGCAGCTTCATTTAGGATCTTAAAAAATTACATAAGCCACATCCTGGAAAATATGAAAATAAATTTTCTCCATCTACATAAAACATCCTTTCTGAGTTACCAAACTTTCTTCCAAAGTACACAGGTTTTGATCCAGAATTTAATTCCTTGACATTCAATGTGTTCTGATCGCATCAAATGTAATTCCACACCCACTGAAACCCGCCTCAGGCCTTTTCCCAATGTCATCCAGCTATTTTTCTTTGGGATGTTACAGGAAGTTGCACGCTACTATTCTAATACACAACAATGAATATGCTTTAGAGATTTTGTCATAATTCTTGGTAGCATTGCACTTAGCAAGCTGTTTTGATACATATATGTAAGCAATTTAACTTGCCTCCTGTTCCCCAGTACAACTCACTTCTTTGTTTTTAACAAATTGACAGGATTCTAACAAATACACATGCCAAAGCTTTCATATGGTACCATTGCCTATCATCCCATTCAAATTGTTTCTTCAAGAAAATTACCATCTAGTGTTGGTCCTGCTGGTGATCATCTACAGGATATTTCAACCAGAATGCCATATACGCAGAATTCTTTATTTTATTTTAGTTGCAAAAATATTTGCCAGCTGAAAAGTTATCTGCTTATTCAAGCCATTAGACAGAAATATAAGTAAGGTAGTTTGCTTTCAAGTGAGATTTACAAAAATACTTGTTACCTCCTGGGAAAAAAAATGGTAAAAGACATTTGCAGAAAAAAGTAGGGCATCTATTGCTGCTACATGTTTAATTTTATTTGATTTACTATACTTGACTTTTCCCTTTGTTGGCAAAAACAACCTTAACTGTTGCTAATGCTGTTTGCCAGTGTCTCCATCTGCATCTTTGGTTACTTCTTGGATTCATTCTCTGAGCATTTGCAGAATTCTGCTTACATCCTCTGAACTCTCATGGGAATTTTCCCCTTTGGTAGTTAACATTCGCAGCAGCATGAAGTTATTCACATTGTGGATGACGTTTACCTGCAGCTGAAGACACCTGAGCCCAGTTCCCTCTCGAGTGTCTTATGTGGCCTTGTTCATCACTGTCAATCATAAGGGAATGCCTCTGCCTCATCTTTAGAGGTCCTGGATTCACACTGTACGCACCCACACTTCAGTTTTGGCGGTAATGCCAAATCCCCTTTTGGAGAGTTTATCTAAATTAATCTCAGCTCCTAATTTTGCCATGTAGGTTTATTTTTAAATTGAACCCTTCCTTATCTTACCTTTTGTAGATTATTTCTTTGAGGAGTGGTTTCCATAAAACAGCTCAGAAAGCAATCAGTTTAGTCTCAAAGTTAGTGCTGTGTTTGTTCAGAATTTCTGTCTGGCCTATTTTCTGCTGACCTTTACTTAAATGATTATGTACATGCATGTGTGCATGTATATTTGTAATGCTTTCTGTCTTGCTCAAGTACAATTTTACTACATAAAACAAGCTTTTATCTTGAGCTTAATGTCCCAGTTGTTTTATTGGTATTGTAACAAGTCTGCTCGTACAAGGCACATCCACTGCACATCTGAATAAAAGTAAACATCCTGTGTTTCTCAGCCTTCTATAAACCCCAACAGATGGCTGCTACTTTAAACTGTGCTGAATAGGATGGCTCACATTTCCCATGCAACAGACTTATTTCTGGAATCCAAACCCAGTATACTTCTTACAGGTGGGAACACTGATCTAGCCACAAAGCCGTTTAGCCCAAATCAGTCCTACATGGAGACTCTTCAGAGCGCAGACCCTCTTGCTTTTTGGAATGGATGTGCAGTGGGGCATACCTTATATTGCTGATCCATCCAAAGCTGCAGGTGGGCTGATAACAGCTTCCACGTGTAGGTCCTTGATTGTCAAGACTCAAGGTCCTTTGTACAATATTTCTGTTAGAATCTTTGCATGTGTGTGTGTGTGTGTGTGTGTGTGTGTAGCATCAAAGGGAAAAGCTTTTGAAAGACCCACTTGCATTCTTCTAGAACCTGTGTACTAGCTTTTTTGCATGGATGATCTTCAACAGATTACACACCTGTTCTGTTGCATTCAGAGGCCCTAAAAATTACACCATTTGTTTAGGAAGTAATTCTCAAGAATTAAAAAATTTCTGATGTTTCTCCTCCAAATACACTATTTACTAAAATGGCTGAGTGCAGAGCTAGTCTAGCATTAGCTAGCCTTGTGTAGCTCTCTGATTCACAAAAACCCAGCACAGTATATCATGGGGTATTTTCCTCCATCACACCAATGTAGAAGACTCCCAGTGGGTCTCGAATGCATATTTTCATTAAGGATCCAATAGACTGGTCACACTCCAAAACCCATCAACTTTTTATTATTTCCTAAATCAAAGTTATTGACATTCCCAGTTTCCTTTACAGTTCACTGCTTTTTTAACAAACTATTGTTAAACCCAATTTCATTGTATTTTAAGATGTTTTGTACCACATGTATTGCACTCTGTCACTTTATCGTTAGCTATCTTGCCCTGCAATTCACTATTTGGTCATTTCAGAGCAACCCAGGAGGCAAGAACTGTGAAACCAGAGGCTTTATAGGTCTCACCAGCGTATAACTCCCCATAATGGGAACATCCTCTTGGAGCAGATTGTCTGTGGTTAAACAGAATACACTGTTGGTCAAAATCTCCAACTAGATTGAGTGAGAGATGAGACTGTTCAGCCTGTCTTCCAACAGCTTCTTCTGTTTCTTTGAAGAGAGACTCCCTAGGTGGTTCTGTCCATTTTCTCACTAATGGGACTAAGTGTCATTGACTGGTGTATGCAGCCAAAGAGTTTCTTGAGATGATGGGTTTTTTACAAAAGGTTGTGCTCAGAAAAATCAATATTACAGAAAAAAACAACCTATCAACATTTTCCATTAAATAGAGAGGAGTTTCCATTTGCTTTGGCTTATGTATCCTGGACACAGAAAGATGGGCACTGAAATCAGGTGGTCTACCTGCATTCATTGAACTCTGCAATAATTTAGTATATCTTGCTAATTGCAATATTCCAGTCCTTGTTTTGGTTCTTTAATTCAGAAGAAAGATTTGAGGACTGCTTGTACTGACCTCCTTGCAGGTTTTTTTTAAATAAACTATGAAGGACAAAGTGTATCTACTCTTGCACTTTTTTTTTTTTGCAAATTTTTATAGCAGCCGTGCCTCTTCAGCTTTCCCACTGAATTGCCCCACTCAGCAAAAGCATCCATGAACCATTTTGTTTATTACACTAAGACACATGTTTATGCATGTAGACTTATTTTCTCGCCTGGGAAGCTGTACAATAGTATAAACCTATATATAGGTTTATACTGTTAGGTAGTTTATATTATTAGGTAGTTTACACTATTATAGGTATATATAAAACCAGACTAACTTTTCTGTCTGTACAGAAAATTACTGTTCTAGCACAAGTGTGCTTGAGTAAAAACATCATGAATTATATCAGTGGTCAAATGAGGCCTCAAAAATCAGTTATTCCTCACCCAGAAAGTTGGATTCAAGTGTAAGCCAAGTCATGAGAGCATATATAATTCCTACAGATGTTTGCTGTATTAAGAAGCAATGGGCCATATGTACAGTCTTGCAAATTTTAAGTGGGAGAGAAACTTCGTATGAAAATGCTAATTGTAATCACAGCCTAAAATGTGTGCTGCCAGAAGCCTTTAGTAATCACACTCAGCCTCTCGCCTTCTTGCTCCATACTCATGCACAGATCCTGCATTTTATGTGTATCCTACGTCTAGCTCATGTTTTTCCCCTATTAACTTGTAACTACAGTGCCTGCCTTACAGCTGCCCAGAATCTATTCTACCCAGTCAGCAGCTACATCCCTGCTGGAAAGGATGAAAGCACCGTCCAGCTAATCAAGCCCTTGAAGAGGGCAGCAGCCTCTGTGGCTATTAAAGAAGGTTACAGTAGGCTCAAACTGTTCAGAAGAGAAACACAAATAACCCCTTATGAGCTTAAATAAGGCACATTCAAATGTGTTTAATTGTGCGTGCCTGTCTGAAAATCTGGCTCATCTTTCTTCTTTCCATTTTTCACTCAGAGGGTCACTAGTGCCTGAAAACACTGATATGCCAAGGAAGCCAGTTCCTCGTGGGAGCATGACTCTGCTCCACACAGACATTTTCCCTTCTGTCACTTGGCATAATTCAGTATGTGACTTGAAAATCCAAAATATAAACAAGAGAAAGGAACCAGGGCCAACAATGTTCCAAGCAGAATTCTGAAACCTTCCCAGTAAGTGAAAAATACCTCTCCTCTAGAAATACTACCCATTTCTCCATTGTTTTAAGCTTAATCAGAACTATTTCTTTGCAGGGCTTCAGAGGAAATGGGGGCAAAAATACCATAGTCAAACATACACGTATTAGACTGTAAAAAACACTACTCAATGCGATACACAGCCAAGTTTCTCCCATCTCATAGTTCTCCTCTTCCTGTGAACTGCTTATTTCTTTTCCGTTTCTTTCTCAGGATCATTTTCACCCATAACTTTGTTGTTCTTTAACACCTTTTAAATTTAGTTATGAAATACAGAAGTATGTATTTAAATATATCTTTGTTCCTGCTGCTCTCGTCTCTGTTACAAATGCAAGTTAAAAACCTTCAGTGTATTCATGCATCATTCTAAGGAGGAAAGAACTGGCCCCTATACTGTTCTTTACTAGCTTCTGGTTGTTCCCATGTCCCAGGATGCATCGCAGTTTTGCAGGTTTTTCCTGAAAATTGAAAAATTATACACCTGAGCCAAACAAATGGAAAATACACCACAGGCACACACAGGCACCTTCTATAAGCCAGAATTGAGGTGTTACCCTGCCTTCAGTTCCAGTGAGTGCTGAGCCTCTCCCAGCATGGCAGTGAGCAGCAGGAGGCAGTAATGTTAAGGTATCTGTGAAGTAGTTGCTTAAATAATGATATATCTTCATTCTCCAGGTGGAGCACCTGTTTTTTCTCTGGAAGGTGAAACCCGGAGCTTCGTTACTTAGGGTGACACTGACCTACATGTGGAGATTCTTTACTAACAGTTATGGCAATCTTCCTCAGCAATCGCTTTGGTAATTGCTCCACTATCTCTTCACACAAGTTGCACTTTTGGTACTCACAAAATCTCTCCAACATCCATTCAGAGCTGTTAATGCTTTCATGACATGCTGCTATCAAGGCAACCAAGTGAACAAGGAAGTGGTTGCAAAAGCTACTTGATCCTTTGGCTCCTTCAGGTCCTTTGGCTCCTCCCTTAGTGCAGAGGAGCTCTTGTCTGTAGTTTTATTATGAAAAGTATTCAAAAAAACTAAGACAAAGACACTAAAATGCAATTCTTCACTCACAGAGCTGCACCTGCAGCATGGACCATATCCACGCAGTTCTGAAACAATCCAGTGTTGCTGATGGCTCAAGTGTCACTTCAGAGCCAGATTTAGAAAGGTCAGGCTAGCACAGGTGTTTTAATGGAGATGGTTTCATCTTTTTAAGTGTTTGAATTTGAAGTTCAAACATTTAATCTTTCAAATTAAGGAAAACTGAGAGTTCATGGGAGTGTAGAGGGCATGATGCCTTTGTGAGAATTATTAAACTGAATTAACAACAGTGAAAATTTCTCAACTGGGAGGAAGAGAAGGGAGAAGAATTCAATGCAAGTTAATACTCCTAGCTAAAGAGTTAAAAGATCCATTCTGTACTTTGTTGGTGAAATTATTTTGAGGAGAAAAAAAGAAAATATTTATCAGTGTCTAAACATGATGCTGTAGTAAATGAGTAGTTGTCATTTCTTGTAAAAAAAAATACAGTCTTAATTTTAGTATTTCCAGTGTTGTGGTCTTGCATGGCTGTAGGCAAGTTGCTGGAATGGTTAATTCTCGCCTCTGCCATTATAATGTACCTTATTTCTAATTTGAATTATGTCCAATTTCAGCTTCCAGGCATTCATCCTGTCATAAGTTGATTATTGTAATAAATATTGTTATTACCAAATTTTACTCCTATATGCACTCATTAACTGAAGAGCAGAGTCTGCAGTGCCCACAGGCTGTTCAAGCAGGGATAAGCACCCTCTTTGCAACCTTCTCTTTTCTCTCCTGTGGTTTTCTCCAGCATGTGGGAGAGGTGAAGGACTACAGGGTCTTGTGGAGAAGAGGTCACAGGGCCAGGCTTGTACTTCTAGGGGATCATATTTGAACCTAAGGTCCCAAAGCAGCACATACCCCTCAGAACAGGGCAGACACCCTGTCTTTAGCTGGCCCACACTCACATGCACTTCAGAGAGACTGTAAGCTTCTTGTCAATTGTGTTGTGTGGAAAATAATTCTACGGAGAATTGACATTTATAATATACACATGTAAACAACAACATGCTGCAGGGGAGAGGGGGTCGCTTTTTTTTCCTCTACATTATGATCTGTGCAAGGAAAATGTTGTTGAGTTTAGGACTCCCACTCTCAGTAGTCATCCCACCAAACCTGAATTCAACAGTTCTCACAGACATGTGGCAGGATTAGATACTTATATTCTTGGCTGTTAATTAATTTTACCACTAATTCTAATGTATTTACAGGAGCCTCTGTTCCATAAGAAATTCTAAATTTGGCCGAAGTCTGAGTTTTATGCAATTAATGATGGAAGTTTTTCATATGTGAGTAGATTTCAGTGGTACGCAAGCTGTATTGTGTACTGTACTTGAGTTAAAGCACTGTAAGCTAGAGAAATTACAACTATTTGTAGAGTTCAGTCTGTTGTGTATATTTCTATGTTACTAATGCAGGCTGTGTTGCTAGGTGCACATTTCAAGCCAGCTAAGGATTTACAACTTGCAGGTATGTAATGATATTGGCACTTACTCTTTGTTTACTTACAGAGAAAGTAACAAATGCAAAACTTCAATAATAATGAAACAACGGTAAAACAAACATTGGGGAAGACATTGAAATACAAATTTCTACTCCAAACATTTGGACAACATTGAAATTAATGAAAAAGTTGTCTTACGGAGCTAAGTCTAGATCTAGGTCAGGCTAAGTTAACTAAGGACAGGAAGATATTGGCAAATTCTTAGTCCCAGATGAAAAACACATTAGGTAAGTTTCTTTTACATAGTCAAGTGTAAAGTCCAGCCACTGGTACCACTACCCCACTTACAGAACACCAAAAGTGCCCTCAAAATGACTACAATTTTTACAATAAACTAGTGTTGCGTTTTTTTTCTTGAGTATCACTTTTGTGTCTCACTGAGAACTGTCAGCTTGACCAACCCCATTTCATTTCTGGAAAAACTCATTATTTCATTTCCAACATCCCAGGACTGAGGAAATCCATTTCAGTAAGCACAGTCTGAAGGAGGTTCATGGTGCAAGTGGTACAGTGACATCACCACCACCACCTTGTCTCACAGGTGAGTCTCCTACCAGTTACCTCAGCAAGGGCCCCGTGCAATACTGGCATCAATGCAGGTTACTGAAGCTCTTAGAATTGCACTGGTACACCCCAAACACCCCAGAGTATAATTTTATTACAAAGCATTATAATATACAAATATAGTATAAATATTACAAAGCGTTCAGAGGCAGCGTTGCACGATTTGTACCATTTTCTGAAAGGGCAACAGCTGCCCTCGCTCCACCTGAGAGTATCTCAGGAGGTGAGGGCTGCAGTTGTGTGAGGAGGTTTTTTCCCATGTTATTGAAGTATACAAGGGAGAGGAAGGCAATATGTGACTTTGCTTCCCAATTAACATTTTTCAGAAGGTTTTAGGGTTTGTGTCTTGTGGTTTCCATGGCCTGGGGAAAACCTAAACGTGTGCTTGTTGTGGTGGGTTGATCTTGGCTGGATGCCAGGTGCCCACCAAGCCGCTCTACTACTCCCCTCCCTCAGCAGGACAGGGTGGAGAGAAAATAAGATGGAAAAAACCTAATAGGTCAAGATAAAGACAGTTTAATAAAGCAAAAGCTGTGCATGAAAGCAAAGGAAAACAAAATATTCTCTGCTTTCCATCAGCAGGTGATGTCCAGCCACTTCCTGGGAAGTAGGGCTTCAGTAGGAGTGGCAGATGCTCCAGAAGACAAATGTCATAATGACAAGTGCCCCCCACCCCTCCTCCTTTCTCTTAGCTTTTGTTGCTGAGCAGACGCCACACAGTATGGAATACCCCTCTGGTCAGTTTGGGTCAGCTGTCCTGGCTGCATCCCCTCTCAAGATCTTACACACCCCCAGCCTATAGTGACGGGGGGAATGCTGAAGAGACAGGCCTGATGCTGCGCCTGGACCACCCAGCAGTAGCCAGCACACTGGTGCGTTATCAACAACTTTCCAGCTACCGAGACAGAGCACAGCCTGGGAGGGCTGCTGTGGGGAAAATCAGCTCTACCTCAGCCAGACCCGATACAGAACTAAAAACCATCTTCTCCAGCCTTCCTGTGATGGAGGCTATGATGATCACAACCATTTAAGACCTACCCTGGTTTCCAAGAATGATGAATTTTCATTGTCATTGCCTTTACAGCATTAAATACAACACTACTAAATTGTTAGCAACCAGACCTGCATGAGAGCTTCATGGGTTTATTCAACTTAAGTGAAATGAAAACCTATTTTATCAGGTCTTCTTACATAATGAACAATGTCAGTGAAGCACAGCCTTGGCTTCTGTATAGACCTCATGTTGTTACCCCAAGTTTGCATGGTATTAAGAGCTACCACTGTTTATAAAATCCACAGAGGAGCAGAGTGGGCAAGTCAAGTCACTACAACAGAGGTCAGAAGGTGATAGCCTCTCTCTGCCCCATTCTCAGTTCATGCCATCTCCTTCATATCCATGCCTCAGACTCACTGTTAATGCTCTCCCCTCTGGCTTTTTAGGGACAAAAGCACTTAAAAACCTAACAAGATTGCTTTAACATCACCCATGGTAAAAAGCCTCCATCCAACTTTATCTCAGGGCTACTTAGGATCACAGTCTGGAGTTTTCTACCAACAGACTCTCTCTGAACAGGTTTCTGCTGCTTGTACTCAACCTGAACCACTTGCAGTTGAGCCACGCTCTGCGATTAGAAATGTTTTGCCACCTACTGAAGCTGTGTAGCAGTCACACAGGCACTGCCATGTCTGCCGAGCTGCCTTAAGCTTCCATCAAGCAGATCCCACTTCAGGGTTCCCCAGCTGTAAGCTGCTAAACTGTGCAAAATGGGCAACCCGTGACATTTGCGATGTGGCCTCAGAGGTGTGTGGTTGGGCAGGGGGAGAGAAAGCAGGGCCGAGCTCTGCGGCATTTTACTGGGACAGTTTGTACTCCAGTAAAATGACACGTGCATACAGGTGCACAGTGTAAAGATGTCTGAGGGCAGAGCTTGGCAGAAATCCTTACTCAGGGACAAGAAGTTGAGCTAAGCACAAACTTGAGCCCCGCTTCCCCCACACACAGGCACAGCTGCCTGTGGGACTGGCACAAGCAGTTGCTTGTCTGTGCTTGCCTTCCACTGGTGCTCATTAGCAAGGAAAACAAAGTTGGTTGAACAGAGCTGGCAGGAATCCTACCACTGCGTTTGCTAAATGGATCTATTAAAATGTAAACAGAGATCACATTGCAGGGCATCATCATAAAATACCATGGATGACGTCTTGGCCAATTCCCAAACAGTGCTGCTTCCTCCTCCATCCCGTCACATTTGGCACTGGCTGCCCCTATGCTGCTGCTCCTCTTGCACATCTTGTTTGCAGTTATCTTGCCTTTTCCTCCCCTCCCTCCAAAGAGTTGCCCACTGGGTCCTGTGAAGGTTCATCCTTATCCACCCGTCGCCTGCAGCACGGTGCTTCAGTCTCACACCCCACAGAGGTATCGCGACATCACCGCACATTTTGGAGCCATGCAACCTCTCCGAGGCTTTCTGCTGTAGGAAGACAGGACTCTGGGGCCTCAGTCTCCCCTTGCTGTGCCTACAGAAGCCCCTGAGTTTGCAATTTAGCCTTGATGGGGCACATGACAGGCCACACAGGTTTCACCTGTCTTACTCCTGCCTCACTGATACACATCTAGTAGGAGTTTCTATCGCCTCTTTGACTTTCAAATGAACGTTTTCCTGCTTTCTCCCCTGCTGCCACCCCTCATTCTCCCAGAGGACTCTCAGAAAGCCACCACCAAACCATGAGTTTGTTCTCTTTCAAGACTTCTTTAAAGCCATGCACCCATCTCCCTCCCTGCCACCCCTGTCTGCAAGATCTTGACAAAAATTGGTAAGATGCTGGGGGAAGGTTAAGGTTTTCTGGTTTTACGACTGTGACTTGGCTAGCTGTTGTCTTCATCTCTTTGTCCTTCCTTTTCTGTTCTTGTGTGGTTTATTCCCTCCAGTACATCAGCTGCATGCTCCTTGTCTCTCCATCCTCTGGGGTACTAGACCTCAACAGAGGCTTCAAAGCTTTAAATTAACAAAATAATTACCTCTGCTGGTAACATCATAAACTCCAGAACAGGCCAAAGCAGCAGCAGTCTTGTGGTGCAGAGGAAAGCAGGAGTTCTCGGCTCCGATCCAGTTCTGGCAGAGATTTATTATGTGCAACTGGGGAGCTTTTTGCCTCACTTTCCCTGTCTGTAAATGAAAAAGACAATGTCCGCTCTGTTAGACACACTTAAACGACAAGCTCCCTGGCAGGACAATTCACTGCTTATCCATACAGCACCAGGTACAGCATGTACAGAGCTGTTTATCTGTACAGGGAAGCTTTGGCCTCTGCTGGTACCTCCAGCCACGACCAACAAAATGAGCAGGTAGGAACACAGGTTAGAAACCAGTTAGTGGCACTCAGGGAAGAGTTTCTTAGGGAAGCTAAAGAGAGATGCTATTTTGTATCATTCTCTACAAGCTGATATATTAATGATCTTTAAGTCCATTCTGCTCATGGTACGTATAATAATGAAACAATCTTGACCAAATAGAATGCATATTACAGATATAAAAAAGTTGCACTTTTAGAAACCTAGATTCTGCTTGGGTACTGAAGTTTAGAAGTTTTAATTTCACTCCTTGAGTAAAACTATGTAACATACCTTTCAAGAGAAGCTGGTTTATTTTAGTTGTACCGGAGATAATGGAAAAAAAACAAACAAAAAACAACAAACAAACAAAAACAACCACCAAAAAACAAACCCAACTTAAATCCTGTCTGCAATCTGGGAAAAATAATATTTGAATGACAGAGCACCATTTTCTTCCAGAAGATCAGCAATAGTTTATTATTCTAAGGGTATATTTAGACTATTGCACTTACGCAGTTGCTTTAATATCAACTATATTAAGATCTTTCTGATAGCTGATCACATTCATAAGCAACTGAAGCTCCTCCATGATCCGTTACACCAGGTAGCTCTCAGACCACCGTTTCAGCAGGTGTGTGTACACATGAGATCCCTTCACAGACAGGTAACAAGGCAGGTGAGTGCAACACTGCACTTTCCACCCTTTTCAGTGTGCTGCATGAAGCCACATGGCCCAAAATGTCAGCAAGCAAAACACTGCTTTTAGAGCACTCAGTAACATTCCTGCAGTTTGGGGATTAAAAACATTGATTTTAAAACTGTTTCCTGCTTCTTTGGTGCTGTCCCAGTGCTTGCGCTGGCGAGCTGGAAATCATCCTGGTAACTGTCAAGTTCAGCTTTGCCTAAAGAACAGAAATAGTTTGAGATCAGGAAGAGCAAGGCAGGGAACAAATACAGAAGGTTCTCAGAGATATTCAAGAACTTCAGTAACTCTTCCTCTTTTGTAGTGAGATGACCCCAGATTGCATAGTAAGTTAAACCAACTTTTAAAAAATAGCAAAAAAGAATGGAAAGATGACACAAACACAGCAGTAACTGCTCTTCATATTTTCTGCTCCAGGCCAGTTCCATGTGTATGCTTTGTTCTCCTATGCCTTGGATTCCGACCCAGCAGAACACTCTGGTTTGCATCTGCATGAGCTGTCTAGGGCTAACTGTGGTCTTGAGGTTTTGTAGGAGGGTTCATGAACATGGTACACATGGAAACCTGTGATCGACAAGAAAAACCTGCAGCATAGCTTAACTTGCCCAGCAGTGTGGAAAAAAACGTTAAGAACTTGAGGGTTTTTATATTTTGCAAACAGAAGGAAGTTCGTTTCCTCTGTTAGCTCACCATAGCATTATGTGCAAAAACACGCCTGGAGCTCCTGAAATACCTTTATTTATTTCTGCATCTACCAAATTTATTTATAGAGCCATCTGGAAAACACTGGCTTTTCATTTACAAGATACTATGGAGCTTTTCAGAATTGCTTCATAAACGAAACTCTTTAAAAACACCCACACCTACAGAAATTGTCAACTATAATCAAGTCCTGGGACTTTTTATTGATGTATTTAAGGAGTATTGACAGGACAGTTAAAACAGCCATATTAATGCATATATAGGTAATTCTCTATGTGCTAACTTTACCATGTTAATCAATCTAGTGATCAGCAAATGTGTCTAATACATTACACATCCCTGTAAGAAACCACAAATACTTCAGTTATGTCTCATTTGAATGCAGTCTTGGGGCATTTTCAAACAGTTTAAAAATAAATGGGAGCAAATTCTTAAATGAAATATAATAAAGATGCAGGCTTAGAACATCTGGTGCAAAAGGTGAAAACTGGGAAACACAAGTGTCCTGGGTGGCAGATGAATGCATAAAGGGAAGAGAAGGTCTCACTCACTGCACTTGCCACCGAGCTAGCTCATAACAACCAAGAGTTACAGTTCACTCACTGTCTAGGCATCCTGGCAATAAACCACAACAGAAATGTTAAAATAATAACACGAGTAAAAATAAATAAGGATTTGGGCTTATTTTAGCCAAGATGTTTTAACAAAATGCCACCATTCATTCCTTGGCATGTGGTAAGAAGCCTGTGTGCTCCTATTACATTTCTTAATTGCCTTCATACTTTCTACTATTTGCAACAGTTAGGACTCAATAAATTCAACCCAACTATAAGAATTAATTCCAACAATCATTTAATCTTCTTGTCACTCTAATACCACACACATATAGAAGACCACCCAAGATCTTCATTATTACCTTGTTGATGGTTTGCCATCCAGAGGTATTCCTTCTGACCCACACATTGTTATATGTCTTCATTTACCCATCAAGATTGTTTTATAAAATGTTCATCTCTTTCTAATAAACTAGGTTGACTAGTACTAGATTTTGGGGGAAGCACAAACACTATCCTAGTTGATCCAAGACACTGGTTTTCTTACTGGTATTGTCTCTGCCATACTGGCATAATGACAAGTATAATTGTTCCCTTCTTAGTTTTGTCAAAAAGATCTAATGTTGAACCATGCAACTGCTTGACATCTAAGGGCTCATTGGTAGCATAATTGTTCCATTTACATGTTCAAGTATACCAAGCATACATTTTTTAAAAGTGTAGCATAGTAAATGCAACTCTGTTTCTATCTGTTCCTACTGCAAATCTACAGCTACACAAACTTTAAAAAAAAATACTGTGTGTCGGCAAGGAACATCCCCATTTCCCCTGACCTCTCATTTATCAATCCTAAATTGAGGCAGTTCACCAAGGTCATTGTTATAGTGAAGACTTGAGACTTCCTTCTTCAAATGAATCCCCTAATTACTGTTATAAAATGTTACACTATTCATTCTCTAGATGTCCAAGAATTCTAAGACAACATTTTGAGATCTCCATTTATAAGTAATAGTTCCCATCCTAAAACACGTCAGACTCAATTTCCTTCAAGATGTGGCAATCAGCTCACGTATCATTGAGTATCCTCTGCAGCACGCTGGTGAGTATTGCAGGCTTTGCAATGCTGAAATACCCAAGAAACATCTTCAATTGTTACCAGATTCAAACACAGGAACGTAATTCAGAGGCATGTGCAGCTGGGTGGTTGCTGACAGAGCCAGAATTTCCAGTCCAGGGTCCATACTTCTTCCTCTCTTGCTTCTGATAAGCAGAAACAAAAGCACCTAAAATAAAGCATTTTTCTCTAAAACAAGAGACATGAAACTCTGAATGCAAACTTTACATCCAATAGCACAGCATAAATGTTGGCGGGAATAATTACAGTTTAAGGAAGTGTTCCAAACACTTTAGTGGTTTACCTTTCTGCCTTTGTTCTTCATAGATCTGCAGCGCTGAAACCAAAGACAGAAATCAGAACCACTGTACTTGATGTAGAGGCATTGCAGCCCCCAGAAGCCCCAGTAAAAGTTCACTGAGTCCCTTCAGCTACTTCATCTGCTGTGTGTGTATTCTGTATTTTTTTAATTTGGATCTGAAGTAGCAAGTGTTGACATACATTGTACTCACAGGTACTCAACTCTGTTAGTAATTAAGAATTTCTATATTAAAAACATCCAGAATAGTGAACTGTGGGTCTGTGTGCTTCAGCTGCAGTCTAACACGCTTGTCAGGACCAGTAATACCAAGTGTGCTGCCTGGGGTGTGACAGCCCCATTGGTGATCCACTCTGTCTTGGAGTTCCCTGGACCTTCTTTTTTTTCTCCACTGTTACTATACTTCCTCAATTATGACTTTAAATTAGTACTGAGAACTCTCCTGAACTCCTCCCAGCATTTCTCATTGCCAGTTCTGAGTTCCTGTGGCAACAGGCTGCTCAAGTACCACCTTTATGGGATATTAGCAGCATTGAATCTTTATTCAGACCATGAGAGAATAAGACTGAAATTAATACTGAACTGAAAATGTAACATGTTCCCATAAAAATACTGGTGCCAAGATAGCAACAGGAGTACATACAATAATATTTTCTGACATTCTGTATTCAGAAAAGCAGAGAACTTTCAAAATACAGATTTCAACTTATCTAAAGGCACGAGGATGCACAATTTGAAGAAATGCATGTCTTGAACCCATGTAGGACAGAACACCATGACAGCAAGCTGAGGCCAGGCCGGCAGCAGCAGTAACTGAAGTTACCCCCACCCCACTCCCATCAGCCGAAATACCTGTGCCAGTTTGCAATCTGGTACAGAAAAGGGGAACAGAAGACAAGAAGTTGCCAGATATCCTCACAATTGGTTGTTAGGCCATCTGCAAATAGTTCTGGTAAGCAACCAAGGAAAGGAGCACTGTATAATCACCTGACAGAGAGCTGTAAGTTCACAGATCGAATTGTTACCTTGCGTTGTCCTCACCACACTCACTTTTGCCTTCCTTTTTTCCACGGCATGTGACATCCCCAAGTCCACTGGCTCCTGCAGGGTAGAGGTATCAGTTGTGGCCTGACCAGTGGCTCTCCTCACCACTGGCAGCCGTTAAGAATATCCAGCCCCCGTGACCAAACACCTTCTGCTTCTCTTGCACACTGCACTGCCAAAGTGTTCATCTCATGGACAAACTGGAACTGGCTTGAACTGTTGTTTACATCTTGCATAATTTAAGGTCCCATCCTGCTTCCATCAAGCTCAAGAACAAGCAGTTACACGTATTTCAAAGATAGAGGGTCTGACTCCTTATCTGAGAAGCTTCCCTCGACAGACACCCTGTTGACAGGGGCCAACCTCCCTTATTTTCCCCTCTCTGCTTCCCACCCCCTACTTGGTGTAATAAGAAGTGCAGAGTCCAGCAGTCTGTGCACAGGACAGGGGAGCGCATGGGGGAAAGGGCAGGGCTCAGCCCCTCCAGAAAAGCAGGTATCAAGATACAACTCACTATTACCCCCCCAAAAAAAGACCAAGCAGCCAAGTAAGAGAAGACCATTTTGAGGGGATGGAGAGAAGCAATTCCAAATGAGCAACGGCAAACACAGATGACCTTTGTGAGGTGGGCCAAAAGCATCCATCTGTTTAGGAGTACAAAAGCTTTGCTGAATAACTGACACGGCAACTAACTGCATCCATACGGAGCCCCCTTCCCCTTGGGCTGGCCCCCTCAGAGGGGAGGGCAAGGTGCCTTACCGCAAAGCACAAGATGCAGCTATGTGAGCGCGTAGGTGCCTGGCCTCTAACGCCTTTGAAAGCCTCTTTCTGCACCAAAACATACTGCTTCACACAGTAGCATGACCTATAGAGCCCCGTAAGATCACTAGCCAAGAGAAAGCTGCCATTCAAAAACATAGTTTGAAAGCTTGCACTTTCTATTTAAAACGTTTTCTTATATCACCGTCTTTGCTAATTAGGATTTTAATACAGATATGCCGTTATGTCCGTTTAAACACACATGCCATATACAAGCTGGCCACAAAATAGCTTATGGCTGACAACTGCCTAAATAAATTCCATCTAGAAATGAACTGACACCTTTAGATTCATCAAAGAATTTTCACCACAATCCCAAAGTGTGGGCCAAACCCTATACTCTACTGAAATAATTGCTGGCATCACCTACTGTCCTGGTTTTGACCAGGATGGAGTTCACTTTCATTGGAGTATTATATACCGTGTGATGTCATGCCCAGGGATTTAGGGGGGACTCTCTCCCCTCTCTCTGCTTCTCAGGCCGTGTTGTTGCTGTGAGGGGCGGTCACCACACTCAGTAAGCCACTGCTTCATTTTATCTGTTTTCTTTTTGGACTCACTATTGGTACTGTTGTTCTCTTGCTTTATTTAGTAATTTCTTTCTTTTTATTCAACCTACAAATTCTCTTCTTTTGTCCCTCCCCTATTTCACCGCAGGGGGAGGTGAAGGGCCAGCCATGTGGTGTCTGGCTCTCGGCTGACTTCAAACCTCCACAGTTTTTAGCACCCAACTTGGGGCCCTGAGGTTTTTTTCTTTTTGTTTGAAATAACAAGATGGGTGAAATGTGAATTGCTTGGCTCCTTAGGATCTTACCTCATTTGCAACACGTGTTTCCCATGCCATTCCTCACCTGCCAGGAGAGCCGAGTTAACTATGTGATGCTCATCTATGACAGCGTGTGGTCATCGGTCCTGAAGCTATTTACAGTTGTGTTTGAGAAATCTGGGGAGTTCAGATATCTTTGGAATGTTGACAGAAACATGTTTGCTGTGCTCTTAGAAGCTAGTGTTTTCCTGCACGTGGTTCAGGTTTTGTTTATGGTTAAGCTACTATTTAAGAGTAACCAAGTAACAGACACTGCAGCCACTACAAGGCTGAGGACGGGCGCTGCAGCTGAACCAGGCGCATCAGGAGAACATGAGGAGGCAGAGCCAGTGACAGTCACCCAGTCCTTGTCCTTGAGGGAGCTGCAAGACATAAGAAAAGATTTCAGCTGCCAGCCAGCTGAGCAACTCATTACCTGGCTGCTGCGGTGCTGGGATAGCAGGGCCAGTGGCATGGAACTAGAGGGCAGGGAGGGGAGGCAGCTGGGATCCCTGTCTAGGGAAGGGAGCATTGACAAAGCCGTTGGAAAAGAGACACAAAATCTTAAGTCTCTGGAAGTGAATTCTGTCAAGTGTGAGGGAGAGGTATCCATCCCTTCAAGGATAACTTGACATGTTGACCAAGTAAGTGGAGCACTATGGGAAGAGGCATTCAATAGCTGAGGGAGCTGGCTGTGCGGGGGGTAGTTTACCATGACCCAGATAATGCACGGCCACCCACAGATCCAGATGAAGTCCGATCCACCCGGCCCATGTGGAGGGCTTTTGTACAGAGCACTCCCTCATCATATGCCAGTGCATTAGCACTAATGGACTTGACAGATGAAGAGGGACCAAAGTGGATGAACTGGTTCGTCAACTATGACAATATGAAGAAAGTGTCTCTTCCTCCATCATTGCGGCTGTGAAACAATTATCTCAAGATGTCCAGTAAATTAAAGAGAACTTGTCCTACACCCCACCTGCACAGACCAAAATCTTTGCTATAAGGAACAATCATTTCTCTACTCGAGAGAACCAGTACACACCACAATGGATACCACTGCTGCATTTTTCTCCATCCCTCTGGCAACAGAATGCCAGCCACAGTTTGCTTTTACCTGGAGGGGTGTCCAACACACCTGGAACTGACTGCCCCAGGGGTGGAAACACATCCCCACCATTTGCCATGGACTGACCCAGGCTGCACTTGAACAAGGTGAAGTCTCAGGGAGATTTGATTTTAGGTGAGAACAGCCAATGAAACCGGACTGTCAAATAACCCTGTTATGGCAACTGGTGCCTTGCAACATCCCCGTGCCACATCCAAAGCCTCCTGGCTCCACTGACTGAGCCAACTCCACCTCATTCCTCAGCCTTACAGACTGTCACAACAGATGGAACCTGAAGTTATGGACTACATGAACTCAGCAAACATTGTGGAAGGATGGTCTATAGACTGAGGGAATGATATCTGTGAGACCTGGGCGGGGGGCGGGAAGGGGTGGCGATTCCTTAAGATATATTTGGAAACCTGATAATAACGTCAATGGTATGGAATAAGGGGTGAAGACTGTCCTGGTTTCGACCAGGATGGAGTTCACTTTCACTGGAGTATTATATACCGTGTGATGTCATGCCCAGGGATATAGGGGGGACTCTCTCCCCTCTCTCTGCTCCTCGGGCCATGTTGTTGCTGTGGGGGGCGGTCACCACGCTCAGTAAGTCACTGCCGCATTTTAACCGTTTTCTTTTTGGACTCACTATTGTTACTGTTGTTCTCTTGTTATATTTAGTAAGTTCTTTCTTTTTATTCAACCTATGAATTCTCTTCTTTTTGTCCCTCCCCCACATTACCAGAGGGGGGGAAGTGGAGGTGGCTGCCGGCTGAGTTCAAACCTCCACACCCACTGACTATGGGATGCCATCCTGACATCTCTTTTACTGCAACAAAATGAAATAGTAAAACATTACTTCAGGAAAAGGCAACAAGCTCGTATTCAATAGGAGCACACCTTAAACAACCTTGGTGAGCATGCAAGTGTTGGATTTTACTTACAGAGAAAAAAAAGAAACAAAGAGGAAATTTAGGAACGTGCCAAATGCAAGTAAGTTTATTTTCATGTGTTTGCAGCAGGATAATCTCCTGCTGCTCAGAAATATTGTACAACAGGTTTACTATCACCTCTGAATAAAGATGGACACTGTTTTCTGCACTGAGGTAGTCTATCTGGATTTTTGCTTTTCATTTACTAGAAAAAAATCTGATACTGCTTCCGGAATGAAAGCTTCCCCTGGGGTTAAACAATTCACATGGTGATGATTTCTGGATGCCTGCTACTAGCACATAGTTTCAGTTACATAAGTTTTATAAAGGTCAAATATGTTAACAATGCTGGAGCCAACTTAGAGACATCAAAACTAACCTAAGAGATTACATACAGTCAGACATGTTAACCTGCCTAATTTCAAGACAATTATTATTTATACGATGACATATGTTTTCTGCCTGTGCTCTGTGGTCTCTAAAATAGCATTTGCAGTTTACAGAAGCAAGCAATGCTAACTACTTGTTAACATGTGGTTTCCATCTATGTTTATTTTATGGATATTAACCTGAAATTAAGTCAACACAAAAGAAAAAGAAAATAATCAAGTATTTTCAGAGGCAATACAAGCCTGAGTCTCCTGAGAGCTGCTGTGCTTTTGCAGAATTTTAAGATATGCACATACATTTTTCCCCTTCCATTGCTACTGATGTATGTAAAAGGGAGAAATCAACTTCCTGGAGAAAAAAAGCATTTTAACTGTGATGGATATTGATTTGTTATGTATCAAATTCAGAAGCAAGATAACAGACACAAGTTGTGTACCTCAAACACTTCACTACCAGAGCTCCCCTCTCTGCTGCTTTAATTCAGAGACAGTTGGCAGAGCACAGCAGAATCTTGCTCAGTGGACACTTGAAAGCAGGCAGAGGGAACCAGAAGCTCCCTCGCTGTGCATTTCTGTATGTAGCACACAACACCATCTTCAAGAAATCAAGGCTTAGACAGACCCAGTGACCCTACTCCACCGAGTGTCAAGATACCAGGAAAAGAGTGTATAAACACACAAAAGCAGTGCAACAGGCCTCAGAATCATCCTTTAGTTCCCCACCCTCACAACTGGTACTGAACCAAGTCATGTCTGTGAGGGCATTACTGTAAATTCAGAGGGAGCTGAAGCTTTTGGTCTATCGGTTACAAAACTGAATTCCACAGAAACAGGCAATAGCTAGTCACCTGGGAGAATAAATCTTGAAAGGACACATGATCCAGGTGCGTCATAGCCCTGACACTCACTGCCCGAGTTGTCTCAAAATAGCACAAAGTAATTTGAAAAGCAACAGATAAAGATGTTGGGCGTAACTTTAATTTAACACAAGTAATAAAAAAAAAAAGTTTAGAGAAATGTGATTTTTAAATGGAAGCCGCACTTTCAAATAAGCAACAGTAACAAAAGCAAGTGAATCATCTCAATTATCATCAGCAGGCAGACCTAAAACAACTGTGGATTCAGAGTTGTGGCTGAAGGACATTAACAGTTTGTAAAACATATCATGTGGAAACTTGATACTTCTGGATAAATAGGATTTGTTTCCAGAGATGATTAAGACATCTCCAGCACAGCTGTAACCGTATATCAGAAGTATTTCTGTATCTCAGAAATCCTTTCTGAACTCCAGGCTAATCCTCAAAACTTGACATTCAAAACTTGTTTTGAAAGAATTAGCTCTCTACCCTCAGGCAAAAAAATAAAACCAACCCCCCCTGAATTCCTCTGCCAACTATTCTATAACATATAGCAATTCTTAAATACTCTTGTGCTGTTTTCAGTTGTAGTCCACATATGTTAACTGCAGCATAATTACCACCACCATTCGCCTGCGATGGTCCTCAGAAGGCTGAAGGTAATTGTGTGTGCAGATCCAGACTGGAGCCTGCCAGTGGAACAGAATAAGCATAAAGACTCCACTGCTTCAGAAGTACAGAGCAATTTTTGCACCACTTAATAGATATTTGATGGAATACTAAACCAAAGCTGTCCTAGGGAGGTGTATAAGCTTAAAACCTCTCTGCAGAGAGACACGTTTCTTAAAGGACACACACTAACCTCTAAAAAAGTCTCCTCATACTGGTCTGTTACTCTATAACTAGTCTCAGAAGGCAGCCTTCATTTCTGATTTTAACATTCCCACTTAGCACCCAATGCTTGCTTATTTCAAATGCAGGATTTGGGATTTTAAGCACCCCTGGTGTAATTATACCTATCAATTTCTTCCACCCACTGAAGATCTGCCCAGTCTTCGCCCCCCCCCCCCCGAGATGCACTTACCAGGAGAGAATGAAGCTGCTTGCAAGCTTCTTGGGTCTTTTCACGCAGGAAATAATGTCAGATTAACAGTTCTCATACACTTAAAAATTAGCTGCTTGGAATCACGTGCTCCTCTTTGGTTGAATACATTCATATCTTTGCTATGAAAAATAATGGCTTTAACTGCTTCTTTATGAGCTTGTTATAAACCAGTGATATGACAGTGCAAAACAGGACTTATTTTCTGTTTCATCAAGAAGTAATTCCCTCAGGCACTAAGATGTGACATAAAATCTTTTAATATATTGAGCAATTTAAGTTCTCTGTAAAGAAAGCAAAATACAGCATGAAATACAAAAGCTTTTAAAACATGCCAGGGAATTTCAGTGGAAAGGTAACAAATTATGCAAGCCACAGGCCTATATTACACATTAAAAATGTTGGCTGAGACATGAAACAACCACAGAAACATTTTTATATAATATGATTTAAGATCTATTGTTTGAGAGCTCAAGAGCAAACATTTACTCTTTTCTGATTAATATTAGCAACTTAAAAAACAAAAACAAAACCAAACAAAGAAAGGCATTCTTCTGATGATTGAAACGCATTCCCAGGTAGAATTCAAGCATCGTGGTTCTTTCCACTGAATACCCCCAAATAAAGCACAGCCAAGTACTGCCCAAGAGATTAAACACCAGGAAAGCTCTACACAGCAGAGACTCCCATCTTCAGAATTTTACTTTTTCCTGCTTTTGAGGGAGCTGTTGTGAACTCTTACTCTCTTCTGCACGGAAGAAGCTATCTTCATGGATGCTTTCTTTGCGAGGGACCTTTCCACAGCTCCGGGTTTCCATAGCAACAGCTGAGCATCCTCTCCACCCGTCAGCAGAGACTCATCTGTCGGGTTCCAGCAGCAAGAGCGAACAGCAGCAGAGTGTCCCCCACGAAGGGTGCCCGCCAGGCTCAGTCCTGCTGTGCCACAGCTGATCAGGTGAATGCTTCCTGTGGATGTTCCCCCAATGAGAAAGAGTTTGTCTGCCTTGTTGTGGTACAAGCCGCCTACCAGGTAATGCAAGCTGTCGTTTTCAATGCAGACTGTGTCTCTGACGTCCAGAACGTGCAACAGCGTTATTGGTTCTTCTGTATCTAACTGAGCAATGTCCCACCAACAAAATCCCTCATCGTGTGTCATGCAGTAGATCTGCCTATAGTCCTTCCCAGACCAGCCAATAAAACTTACAGAGGAATCTGAATTGCAAGTTGATATCAAAGCATCATCTTCATTATCCTCATTAATGTCGAACACATTAACCAACCCATCAGTTGACCCAGAAACTACCAAATTGGGTTTGATAGGATGAAAACAAATTTTAGTGATATCATCGTTGTGACTTTCAGAATAGACTCCCAAGGGTTCTTTAGTTGTGCTGGCACTGTTTGTAACGCCTCTTGCATCCCAAAACACCAGAAACGTGTCCTTTTCAACTTTTTCCGTTCCAGCACAAATGATAAGATCACTGCAGTTGATATCAAAACTGATGAAAATGTTGGAAGGATAGCCACTAAACACCTGCACAGCTTTCTGAGCTGCTAAACGAATATCCCAACATTTTACTGTACCATCACTGCATGCTGAAAACACTACACTGTCACACGTGTGAGCAAATCGGACTCCATTCAGTATCCCTGGATGGCTGCTGTACTCCCGCAGGAAGTTTAACGTTTCCCTGTTATACACCCTAATTGACTTATTGGAACATGAAACTGCCACAAAGCGACTGCTTTCAGATTGAGCAGGTTTGGAAACATCTATATCCAGTAAATAAGCAGGTTCCTCACTTAGTGTAGAACGTTTTGCTATGCACAGACTAGCAAGTTGTTCCTCAATCCTCTCCACTGCAGTCATCTCAAATGCTGCTCCTAACGTTGTCAGGAACCTGTGAGAAATAAAATGCAAGGTGAGTTTTAATTATGACATTCTAAATAATATTAGCTTTAAAAATATGTATGGAAGAGCATCTTGTGCAGAGATAACACATGAAGTAAAAAAAAAATCAGTTATCCTGGTGTCCTACGCACTACAATTTCATTTACAGAAACATAGAACCGGAAAGGGCTCCCCGAGTTAAGGAGTTCAGTCTCTTGTGACTGTAAGCACTACATCATATAATCCCCTTAGAAGATTAAATAGTCTGTCTGTGAATCCTGTGAAAGTCACTTAGCTAAATTTGCTTTATTATTTTTATAAAGTAAACAGTAAAGTGATGTTCTCCACAAGCAGAAACAAAATAGAAGTCACCACCACTACCTAAGGAGGAATAATTGTTCTAAAAAGTTGCTCAGAGGCACAGCCCACAAATAGTTGCATCAGTACAACTGCAGGACTCTTCTTAGGTGAACTTTTCTGCTGGGGGACGCACAAAGGGTAAGCAGAGAACAAAACCAAAATTATGTAGAACTACAGTCTGAAACAGCCAGATGAGACAAATTTTACAAGTATTTAGGTGTGCAATGACGCACATAAACACCTGTCAGCATACCACACACCACCTCAACAGGCCACATGACATCAGTGGAATTCACTGGAATTAAGCACCTTCGGCTTTTTCATCAGTTCTAAAAACCTAAATGTTTTTGGAGCCTACTAGAAAACCACATAATGCTGGCTCTTAGTGCAACTGATAAAAATCTTCCCTTCATAGGCAATTCTTCTCTGGCACTACTGAACCCTCCTAGAAACCCATACTATTTCAGTGATGTATGTAAATTCAAATTTTACCAAACAGAAACAAAATTTTAAAATATTCTCTCAACCCTCTCATATATAGATTCTTTTCTTAAAAAAAAAATGTTGTGCCCTTTAAAAAAAAAAATTTAAAAAGCATGTTCTCCTTTCTATAACACAAAGGAAAATTCAATTCTGTAATTGCAGCAAAGGCTTTCATCAATTTAGAGTCAGAAAAAGTACGGAAGCATTTAAATTGAAATGAGATATTTGCCACCAGAAACAATAAATGGTTTTAGTGAGTTCACAAACCACAGTCATTTTTAAAAGAAAGATGTAGGTGGGGTATGTTAAGCAAGCATAATCATCCACATGAATGACTTCTGTGAAAATTACAGGTTCAATTAGACTACTCTTCAGTGTTAAAAAAATGAACATTGAGGAAATCACAGCAGGTTCCAGGGGGTCAGTGCTCCAGTGACTTCTCACCAGCACAGATATTTCAGTTAATACAAAAAAAAGGGTAAAGCGGTACTCAGAAATCTCCTTATTTCCCTAAGGACTAGGCCAGCACCCAATCCTAGTTACCACGTGTATGAAAGGACTCTTTATGAAAAAATCCAAACAGAAATGGAGTAAAAATCAGGCAGACCCAGAATCCAAGAAAATGTTCTCATGCCTTCCCAGCTGTCCCACCACAAATTCTGCAAACTCTTCAGGCTGAATTTTTAGGGATGGAAGGAGCAAATTTCCACGTACTACTACTTTTTGGGTAATTCTTTTTATGGTCCATGAGTGACCAGCAACAAAGAAAAAGTTGCTATGACAAAACTGCATTCTGCTTTTTTTTTCTTCTTGGTGGTGTTTTTAGTTTCAGGGTTTTGCTTTCCCTCCTGTTCAGTACACACAAATATTCATGATGCCATGTGACAAACGAGCAAATTCTTAAAAAACAGCTTAAGTAGGCACACTCATAAAAGCTTAATTCCCAAATCACAAATAATCTCACTAAGCTATTTGCCTCAGTAATATCCTGACAATGAGGTCCCCAGGTTAATCTTCTACATCAAAGCAACCTTTCAGAGCACATCTACAAGTAATTTTTGCCATAAAACGCAGACATCCTGTGGAAACTCCTTTCCCCTCTGAAGAGAAGAAGTTCAACATGTTTTCTGGCATCAGCTTGCGTACAATCCTACCCACAGAGCTTGCTTCTTTCTTACTTTCCTGGGTATGTCCTCAAATGGAACAAGCTTTTACTAGAACTATTACATAAAGCGAACTGTTCTCAAACACTGCTTTGATACAGTGCTCAAACACAAAACCACTAAACTCCCATGCAAATAAACAATTTAAAATTAAGAAATAAAATATTTTAATATTGAAAAGGACAACTTCTACTTAACCCAATTTCATGAAGAATTACAATGTATGCTTCTATTTAAATACCATTTCCAGAACACATGCCTGAAGGTGGAGAAAGGAGTTTTCAAAAGCCAGCTATGCTGTAGTGCTATGGTTACTGAAAAAATTGGGTTCTCTCTGTAAACCTTTTGTAAGAAAAATTTAGTTTTCCAGACTGACCTGAATTTCCAGCTCTAAATATTCAGACTTTTTATACTCAAAAGCCCAAGTAAACTCAAACAGACATGTTCCTGACAAATGTCATCCATTTGGAAAGTAAGTTACAGTTGTTTAAATATTACTGACTTTGATAGAGTATTATTCAATGAGCAGCTTCTACAACACTCATGTCAGAGCTTTTACTGCTCAGGAGGGGAGGGAACCTGCAAGTACCTAGAAGTTGTAAAAAGCCAGAGTCTGCTAAAGTATGTTCGTTCAGATTTAATAATATTTTCTGGGAAATAAAACTAGCCCAAGATAGCTCTTAAGCTTTTACCCCTGAATGACATAGGTACAGCTATTCTGAAATACCAGAAAATGCTGTTCATGTTTCCAGATAGATGTGCAATTTATATCACCAGGAAGCTGGAGGGTACAGTTTTCAATTCTATTTCAACTCAACAACCAAGATGCCTTAAAATTGCATTTGATGGCAGCCAGGTTTTTGCTAAAACCTCAGGAAAATGTCTGCCCTAGTAAGAAAGTCTTCAGACTATTCTGAAATTGTGATTGAAGGTTATATAAACAATTCATGCTCAAACTTCAGGGTGTAGCTGCCAGCCCTTCCTTTTCAGAAGGGGAAGTTACTGTTGTATTTTGATGGGAAAGTTTAAATGGCAGGAATAGGATCTGTGTTAAATTTATTAGACAAATAGGAAACAATGGTCTTCCAAACACAATAGGAGATAACTAAGCACTGGACTGCAGCCACCTCCAACGCACAAGGTGCTCTGCTCTGAAGGAGTGAAGCACTTTTATTTCAGCACCCCTTAATTCAACAACACACGTTATCTGGTTTGTTTCGGCCACAAAGAATCCTTTGGCTCAGTATCTTTGAAACCTGACATACTTTGGATGTAGCACAACAGCCAATTGCGATGATCAGTGAGAAAAACCGCTCATGCTAATTTGACAAACTGTCTGCCACAAAGCCTTTGTAGGGCACTGACAGCTTGCTCTTGAGCTGTTTCGGTTGCAGAAGAAATCGCTGAGAGCAGTGGCCATGACATCTTTTCCCAAGGTACCTCCCCTGCTCAGAACATGAGGTAGTTAATTAAATTCAGGTTCTTCACTTATTTCAGCTCGCAGTAGCCCACTGTCTGGAGCTACAGTCTCAACACAAACTCCAGGTGATGTTAAGGTGCCAGGAAAATACCACTATGTGGCTGACGGCATCTGGCTACAGCCAGTTCTACTTGTGTTTGAAGAAGTAGCCCAATCCCAATCTCTGTGATCACCATTCCTGGCATGTAATAGCTGCATCTTTCATCTACACCCCTGAGCAAGGTGAAGTCACCTTCTACACATTAACCCGAAAGCTTCCATGTTACCGTATCTAGGCCTCTGAAACTACATTCATGGGATCTTTTCTATGAATTAACTTCACAGTTATATGCAACCCCTGCACGTCCCCTTGATAACACAACTACCAGAAACAATAAGCTTCTTGAAGGACACTCAAAACTCATTACATTTCAGGAACTCAGAATACAGTACTTTGAAATAATCTAAAATATTCTGACCTCCTGGGCATCCTACAAGGCTCCTTTAAGAAAGAAATAAGCTTGATTTTTAGAATAGAAGGTGTGAAGTGGAAGGGATGCCAAAGAGGCAGGGCAGGATTGTCAGATGCCTTTAGTATGTATTTCTCACTAGTGGAGTGTGGAAACAACCACACAGCAAGACCAGAAGCAAACAGCCAGAGGCCTCTCCAGTGATGGAGAAATGAAAGGTAAGCACCTATCCTCACAAACTAAACATGTAATATTGTCTCAGCGTATACTGCTGTGCTCTTTGTGCAGTCCTCTAAACGCTGCAGTCTCAACTCAAGCCAACAGGCTCACGAGCCCTCTTCAATCCAGAAAGTTTTTCAAAAAATAAAGCAGCAATTCATAAATTATTTCCCTTCTCCTTTTAGTGGTGTACACAAGATGCTGCCAAATTGCACAGTTCTCATTTCCAAAAGAGAATGTTAGCTCAACAACATACAGAAACATAAAATTACCTCTCTGAAGAATACCATGGAAAATGCAGGAGAAATGGAACTTTCTCAAAGATTTAATCAGTAATGTAATAGTAACTCAAGAGTAGGAGGGTAGAAACACATTGTAAAAATGAAAACAACCTGTAGTTTTGGCAATCTTCTCTGCAGAGGTCAAATACCAAAAATAGCAAGGGATTTGAACAGCGGCAGATGAAATCTTGCGCTGTTCTTTCCTACTATAAACAATACAAAGAGACCCTCCCTTTATTTTCACTATTATTAAAAGTTCAAGAACAAACTAAGAACAAACCTGGAGCTCTGGGCAGTGGAAAGCAATTCATGCATGCAACATTACATGTGGTTTGCATTTTAAAACAAAACCGCAAAGCGCAAGGTTGGCTGAGGAGAACACATTAGTACGCTGCACTTCACTAATGCAAAATGCCTTTCGAGACCTCTCCTCACTGGCACCACTTCGCAACAGAAGATGGATCAGCCCAACGATCTCAGCGCTGAGGGGAAGCACAAAACACCCATCAGGCATGCATAATTTCTGCAGGATATAAACTCCTATAGTTGATTTTGTTATTTTACCAAAGCAGAGA